CTTACTATTCAATATTTTCCCTGTCTGTCATTTATTTGTTTATAAACTTTGTATATTTATATGGTATCTTTTACCATATAAAAACTTTCCGTTTCTCATATGGTCATATATGTCTATCTTTTCTTTTATGACTTTTGGATTCTTCTCTAAGCAGAAAAATTTCAAATGGAAAGAACATGTGCCTTTCAATGAAGACAGGAACTGAAAGACATTTTGATGAATGATGAATAAATAAGTTGGACATGAATAGAAGGTTATATAGGTCAATGTCAGAAAATAATGTGGGAAAGTTCCATTGATGTCAGACTGTAAAAGTGCACCTACTAATTAGTTTGGACTTGGCCTATAAACACAGAAGAATTGTTGAAACATTTTGAATGGGGCAGTAGCATGATGAAAATGTGATTTTATAAAGATTAATTGGCAAGATGGTTTAGAAAAGAGGTTCAGATACAATAAAACCAATAATCCAAGAACCATTTATTGAACAGACACTATTCTAGGCACTTCAGATACATCAATGAATAAAACGCAGCAAAGACTATTTAGGACTCACCTATGAGGAACAGGGTTACAGCATAAGGACAGGAAGAGGTAACATACGTAGGGATGGGAGGAAATATAAAAAATTAATGTGAGAAAAATTAAGAATCAAGATGAAAGTAAGGAAGGGAGGGCAATCAAAGCTGATTTGGGTATTGAGCCTGGGAAATTAGAGCACACAGTAATATTGAGAAACAAAAGTAAATTAGAAGAGGAAACAAAAACATGGAGTGTTGGGTAGCAGTGGCAGAAGTGGTGTCTGTGTTTGCCTGGGCTGCCTTACTAGATTATAGGGCACCACCATGGACCTCCCAGCAGGCTGGAGTCAATTCATTAATCAGCCATTACTGAGAAAGACATTTCAATCAATTACAAATTCGTTTGACTGCATTGTCATTAAGCTCACATTTATCTATCTTGTCTTTAAGGATGTTACTCCTTTTATTTTGCAAACATTTATTGAGCAAGCATCTACCTACTGCATGTCAGACTCTGTGCCAAGTGCTGGGAATACAAAGGAAACAATATGTCATCCCGGACCTATCGCATCATCTAAGACACAATGTGGTAGGATGCTGTAAGGTTGAGGGGATTACCCTTTGGGGAGTGAGTTTAATTCTAACTGTTGAAGAGGGAGATGGAGGCAGAAAAGTCTGTACTGCGAAGACTCCTTGGTAGAGGAGGTATCATAACACAGGAGCTGGACCTGTAAGGTATGCGGAGTTCAACAAAAGACAAAAATCCACGTGAAATTTTAGCGGTGAGGACATTTTAGCACAAGCCTGCCCTAATATAATGACAAATTTGTATTGTAGCTGGTTTTCTTTGCACTTACCTTGAGATGTAAGTTTATTCTGGTGCGGCTCAGTCTAAGAGATCCCATCTACTTTTTCCTAACAAAGAGTAGGGGAGAGTTTGGGGTGTGGACAAGTGGAGTCGTGTGTTTTCTCCTTTGTGCTCCTATCACAGTGACCCTTTGAGCATTTATCACAGTAATTTTCTTCTTTCCTGTCCATCTTTCCCTGAGGCTTTGACTTCCTCCTGAGAAGGGACCTTATTCTCTCAATCTTCGTGATCATTGTCTAGTAGTTTTATTAGTAAGGAAACTTGTGCTTGCAAGTGAAAGAAACCAGGACAAACTAAACTTTCACGGGTTAATAAGCAAACAGAGGAGAGAAGGAGAATTAATAGACTCAATTAACAGGAAGGGATTCAAGCTGAGTTAGATCCAGGTGCTCCAGAGATGTGTTCTGGACTCAGTCTCCACACCTGCATTCTGCTTTCTTCTATAATGACTTCATTGTAAAGCAAGTTCTCTCTTCATGGTATCAAAATAGATTCGGATACTTCAATGATGATCTAACCTCTCTGAGACCCCTGCAGAAAGAACAAGTCTCCATTTTTTGAAAGTTCTAGCTAAAAATCCTCAATTTGAGATTTATGGCTCTTCTTG